ATTTGATCGCCTACGCTTACGGCTCTAAACATATAAGTATAAAGCCGCCGGGTCTCTCCACCGTTATTCCCATCCTCGTCTCAGTGATCTTATCACCGACCGACTTTCAACAGTTCAACAAGTGTGCTCTTACTTTCCTCTTGAATACCGAACATTGCATTCTCTTCGACTATAAGCCCAATATATCCCAAACCCCTGAACCCAGAAGCCATGGCGCAAGTGCCTTACATCGAAGTCTATCGGTTCAACGACCACATCAAGTCCCTCCAGGAAAAGGCCATCGTAGAAGTGCTCACTTCTACACCTGGAGAGAAGCAATCGAGACTGGGTTCGTATGGCTTGGAAAAGCCGTGCGCAGACTTGAGTGATGAAGTGATTCGGGGCCTTGTAAGTCTCAGTATATATCAATAACCAAGTATCTTCTGACCAGATGTGATAGAGTGGACCACTTGTGAGATGGGCTACTAGCCGTGGTGCTATCATCCAAGATCTCCAGAGACCCTTCTTCCGATCCGAAGCCTTCCGACTGCAGAAAGGCAGTGCCCTGTGGCCGGGATATCATTCCACTGCGCTGCTCGTGCCCTTGAGCAACCGGAACGCACAGGTCGAACTGATTCCACGCGGAAGTAATGAGGCCATCCCTCACAACTGGGATCCACGAACAGTCATTCACTTGAACGAAATGGGGATCCAGTTTCAAGGAAATGGGAGTGTTCGGTTCATCTACATCTTGTTCCAGACAGCACCGTGCTCCAAACACCAGCATTGGTAAACTTTCTATCCCAACAGCTCTCAACGAGTATGGACACATGGGTTGAGATGGCGGATTCTCTTTATCTATTCAATCTCCACGCGTACAGCACTTCCTAGTTATCAACGATACTGGACACACACGCCAACTCAGTATCTAAACTCCCGTCCCATTCAACAAGATCATCCCGTTCTTCGAATTCCATCACGCTAGTCACATCAATGCAGCCATATGCACATATACTCTCTGTTTCTGGAGGGCACAGGATACGGTGGATGGTTTTGTATCTATGAGCAGTAGTCAGGCATAAGGACAGAGTCAGCAAGGAAATGGACAGACCTTACTCCCACTTGGAGTGCCGGCCCCCCAGCACTTCATAAACCAGAGAGGGTATCTCGAGGTATTCAGATTCGAGAGGTGTTGTCGGCCGATAGGTTGATGATATCTGGTCTTTAATGAGGCGGATGCAGGCAGGGTTACGGCATTGGAACACTTGGAGACAATTGTGTGCTGGAGGGGGCTTAGGGACAGTTCTGGTATGGGGAAAATCTGGAATCTTTCAAAACTTACCATGCAAGGGAATTTCGTTTGCACGACAGCCAACCACTTCACTATACTTTCTGAGTATTCCGATGCCTGTGATAACTCCCTCTCTCATCCTGTCTAACATGGGTAGCGTTAATTCTTCTTCTGAAATACCGCACTGTCTCACGCAGGCCCTCAGGCCATTGTACACATGCTCTTTTGGGCAGCCATCGATGAGTGCCACATGACACGCAGCCACGAAAATGAGTGAGAAAAGGGAACCAAGAGAGGGATTGTTGCAAGCTCGGCCAAGATGCCAGGTACATTCGTTGAAGAACCGTGGCCAGTCAAGGTGAGCCCGAAAGCCCGGGAACAGGTAGGGCAACCTGAGACGATGGCACAAGGAGCCGACATCGATGTTGCTACTGAGGTAGTGGGACCAGTCGTCGTCACTTTGAGGAACCTGAGCGAGAAAATGAAGTGCATGCGGATGCCAGCGACCATTGTGCTGGTTGTTATCGGATCCTGGGTCGTCTTGTTTCGCATGTTTCGAGTCATCCAACTCGTCTTGATCATCACTGTCGGTATCCGAAGCAATTTCATGAGACCAGGTCTGTGGGTCAATCTTGGGACCGGAACCATCACTGGGCTCATCAAGACTGTGGAGCTTAGGAGGAGACCCAGAGACCATGTTCAAGCCCACGTGAGGATACTCGAAGATCCAACGATACTGAGACTGAGACTGGGACTGAGACTGGGACTGGGACATGGTGACGGGCTAATTCTTGGGCGAAGCTTGCGTTTGGTAACTGGAAGTAGCTGGACAGCAAGTGGTAAGGATGATAGGCTATAGGGTCTGTGGGTATGTGCAATGTTTCCTATGTTTCTTGTGTTGATTGGTGAAGTTTGAAGATGGTGTAATGATGGAAGCTGGCGATAGTGGTAACGAGAAGCAGGTTTCCGATGGGAGAGACTTGGCTGGAATATGTTGCACAAGGAGGAGTATTTATTCTATTTTCTGGCTACGAACGATGGTGCAAATATCAGGACAACAGGCAATGAGTGCTAGGTCTTTCTGTTCTCTCCTCCTACTCCCTTGACTTTGGGAGTCTTTGTTCTGGGTTAGTTGCAGCATGAGCACACGAAGAGTCTCACATCTAGTCTATCTTGCATCCGTTGCCTCGAGTTTCAGTTCAAAAATCCACTACAAGGCGGGAACAACGGCTTTCCTCACGCGGCGCCTTTCCATCTCCGCGGGACACGGCATTAGTCTTGCTGTCGAAGGCCTTAAAGGTCTATGGATGGCGCCGCCACGTTTTCTCTTCGCCTCAGTGTTCTTTGTCTTAGGCTCGTAGTGAGTGACGGACCCGGCCTCGTTGGGCAGAAGCAAATATGTCGTCGGTTGACTTGTCAGGATGGTAGTGACGATCTCAAAGTGGAGAGTTGTCGTCGCTTCAGGAGGCTTCTTGTCCCCTGCAAGTCTCGGGCGGTTGCTTTTTCCCAGTGTCGGCCGTGGTGGAAGCACAAACGGCTATCTGCCCCAATGCATGCAGTTCAGATAAGCTAATGCCGTTGTCGTTTGAACGTGCTTGACTATAGCCTACAACGACTGGGGGCGAATCGTGCTTGCAGCGACTGACATCAACCCCCCTCGCAGGAAGTCGATTTCTCTATTCTCCAAGGCGCAGGACGCCACGCGATGGGTAGATGCAGACGGCTCAGACTTCCGAGTCTGTCGGTCACCAGAAGGAGAGGGTGTTCGCCCTTGCTCATAAAATAACAGGCGAGCTATGATATATTGTACTGTACGGTACTGTCTTGTATGTATGCATGCATGCACGCAGCCGTTTGTTGCAACTCACACACCTCCAAAGGCTATCCAACGGGCGTCAAACGGGAATGAACTGATCCGGCAGAATCCGCCCACACTATTGGGGGTGACCGTTTCTATATCAGCGCTTGTATGGCAACTTGTGCGCCTCGATCGAGCTGCAGCCGGGTCGATGGGCTCTGTCAGAGACAGGGGACGTATAGACTAGACCCTGGACGTATGTATCTGAGATCGGAGAAAAAGAATCGAGCTTCGAAGTGGACTTGTCTCATATCACATACTTAAAAATAAAGAAGAGAATGGCTCGATGGGTCTGATCTAGTCTGGTCTCGTTAGATCTCGGCAAGTCCTCCCTTGGCCTTGATTCGATATCTCGCCGATCTAAAGAGCCTCGCTCACAGATCGTCTGCCGTGTTGGGACAAGATCGTGTCATGATCAAGTCATTCGATCTTGGAGTTTGAACCCTGGACCTTGGATCCTGGCCCGAGTCCCCTGCTTCGTCCCGTCAAGCCTAAGCTAGAGTTGTTCAGCTTATCTCGTGATCCCAGATTGAGAGTTGATTGCGACATTCAAACGCTGGAGAGACAGGCTCAAGAGTCGAGTCCAGGCTTGCCAAGACGTGTGCTTGCAGGATACGGTCGCTCTGAACAAGGGTGACCCCTGACAGTAAGCACATGGGCTATGGGGTCTGGCTTTTAGTTGATTAATTAGTCAAGCTTGTTATTACCGTCGGGACTTGGATAGACAGAGATAACAGGTCTCTACCGTCTGTGTAAAGGCTGAAAGACCAGGCTTGGCCATGATACTGACATTTGCGCCTGTGCAACACAACCGCATATGCATCTCCCCCAGACCGGTGAGACGGGATACAGCATGAAAAGCGCTTATTTTGTATGCAAGCGAGCGGAGCAGGCAAACGAATGAAGGAGTGAGTGAACGGGAGAGACATGGCGTGGCATGGCGTGGCATGGCATGAAATGAATGACGATCGAAGAAAAGAGAAGACGGCATATTAGGGTGAGACAGATCTCATCGTTTGTTACTGCTGAAGCTGCAGCTGCAGCCCGAGAGAGGCCATCACATCGCATCGCATAGCCTACAGCTACAGCTTGAGCTTACGGGCTGGCCTACAGCCTACTCGAAGCACTCCACTTGTCGCCTCAAACTGTCTCATCTCTTGGAAAACGGGAACAGGCCTGAAAAGCGATGACCTGCCCTGCTCTTCTTCCAACCAAGCCATGATCTGATGCCTCATGCAAGCCTCGAAATCGTACAAACGGATATTGTACTATGCTGTTGGCCGTTCGTGTTGTTGTCTCACGCTAATGCACATACAAACACATGGATGTTCCATACTCACAGCGCGCGCTCTACCAGGTTTTCACGGAGGGAGGAAACATGATTGCGGTGCTGCAGCTTATTCTCTCGTTCTCGTTCTCAGTTGATCAATTCTCGCTGATTCCATGCCTAGCCATGCTGCCTCCTGCGGGTTGCTACAGGATGGGGAGGGGGGGAAAGAAACAAACGCACCGCCATCCATGCCCCAACTCCGTATCTAAGACAAAAGAAATTGATAGAAGAACGGAAAAAGAAAAGACGAGAAAATCTCGAGTTCGTGAGTCGCGCTCGAGTTCGCAGTATATTCCGATCCCCCGCTTGGACCTTGGTCAATCTCTCGGCCCCTCGTCCTTTTGGGATAGCAACTCGTGGTTCTTGTGTCCGTGTGAGCTTTTGGTCGTTGATCTTGCAGGGCAGAACAGCCAAGCTAGTAAGTTATCCTCCTATTAGCATGCTTTCAATATAGGAGGGATAGTATAATACCTCTAAGATGGTCGATCAAAGCTCAAGTGGCCATTGAAAGTCGAGTTCCGTATCGTCAAAGCAACTTATGCTCAAGTCTGCTTCTTGTTCTGCTCCTTGTCACCACCGCCTGTATTCTTATACTTGTCCTCCTCAGCCTCACCCTCCTTCTTCCCAGCAGCCTTGACGGGGGCGACGGTCTTATCACGATGGAAGTGTGATTGGTCTCTCTTATTCTTGGCCATCATACCGGCACGGGAGAGGGTCTCGATGGTGGTTTGGTCTGTGAGGCCGATGTTCATGCGCCGTAGATCCTCGCGGGTCGCTTCGCTCATATTCTCCTTCTCCTTCTCAGTTTCGGGTTTCTTGTTCTTGTTGTTGTTGTTGTTGTTGTTGTCTGCCATGATGTATACTTGATGAAAGTTGATGTATGTTCTTGTAGTAAGGTAGTCAAATGAAGCTTGTGATGTCGATGAATGATGAACGAGAGAAAGAAGAAGAATAGGTAAGAGCAAGATTGTCAGTCGTGACGGTCAGTCTCAAGTAGAAGGAAAGTCGTCAAGAAGGAGCGAACGCCGTTGACAATAGAACCAACTGCTTCATTGAGGTTTCCTATCATTGACGCAGCGTTTGCATCGCAACTCAGTAGGTAACCTACCTTACCTTATAGAGAGAGGGAATAATAGCATCAAGGACAATAGGTTAGTAGCTAAGAAAACGAGGGGACCGGATCTTTCGACAGAGAAAGTGATGGAACGAGTGTTTGCTTCAATAGGTAGCCAAAGCAGGCAGGACATTCAATTCAACTCCAACAAACATTGAGCTCATATGTACTAGAAGTTGCCATGACTGCTATCAAGACATATATCTGTAAATTCATGGTTGAAAGGCTGTAGGATGTGCAACGTAACAGCCACGGAGAGTCCGATCACATTCACAAGAGATGCTTTGAGTGTTTAATTTCTACTTTATTATTAGGTGTCGATGACAACGGCCAATTCCCAGTGTTTTAGACATGATTTATTATTAGAGTTAGATGACAATTGTCAAATCTTAGTATTCTAGACACTGAAATGACCGTGCAACACGCCTTGTTTAATGCGATGCTTGACCATTGACTTTTGTGCACTGCAGCACTTTCAAGGGAATGTCATGTACAGACGATAGTTGCACGTCAGATGCAAATGTACTGTGCTCAAATCTCAAGTGATGTATTAACTATCTATAATTGTTCTCAATCTGAGGTCCCAGAACCTGAAACTCCAGACATCATTGTTGACTAGTTCCTCTATAGTCTTTGTCTTTTCATGTCGCGTCTCAATATACTCCAATGGAAATAATTCGCAAGTCGCTTCCTGTGCCGGCAGGACGACCAAGTCATGCTCGATATATACAAAATGCAATAGTTGAAACCCAGCAGTCAAGCGTTCGCTGACTGGGTAGGGGGGAATATGGGTAAATGCAAAGCGCCATCCATGGTCATAATGAAACCCATATGTAAGTAAACGACGATGCCACCTTGCGAGGCATAATCCAAGATTCCGTTGAACAGATCCAAGGCGACTATGGCCCGGAGTTTGACTTGGCCTCTTCTTCTTGTCGGCCACCAGTCGAGTCTATCTTCTCCAGTGGTTTATCGTCCACCTTTTGAGCCTCATTGATGGGTTCCTCGCAGATTGAACTTTGATCTGCCCAGCTCACGGTCCTCTTTCTTCTCTTTGGCGTAGCAGCATTCTCCTCGATCTTGTCTTGTACGATCGCATCTTTGTCCTCTGGGCTCAGGGTATTAATACTCGTACGAGGAAACTCGGCGGATTCTCGAGTCGGCGTCATTGGTGGCCGACTACCAGAGTATCTCGATGCTTGCATACGCAATGAGCTAGTTCGCATGCGACTCATTCGTGATGTGTCTCCTCTGTTCATGTCGGCATCCCACTCTGCAAAGTCTTTCGCACTCCACGATGCACGGTGGGTACGGCCACTTCGAGGCAGACTGTTGACCGAGTGACGACTCGAACCGCCACTGTTTGCCCTGCGTCGGTTGAGTGGATGTGCTGGATGAGACGGAACCTGTGAGTTTGAGCCCTCTACCATTGGCAATGCGTTGTTCTGGGTATTGCGTCGAACATTGCTGACACTGAAGATGGACTTGGATAACTCCGCAAGCTCATCCACTTCGTCTTCCTTGGGCTTCGACGTGCCTGCTCTATCTTCCATGTGTTCGAAATACCTCACTCGCAAGTCATCAATCTTATCTGGAAAGTCCTCGCGGTTGCGAGACAGAGACATCCACGTCGATACCATTCCGAGGACGATCAGGACCAAGATGGCTGCAGCAAGGAAACACTGAACCACGAGGATGATCATGCCAATAGCTGTTGCTGCAACGCGGCTGAGGTCGAGGGTTCTTAAGAATGCGATGGAAAGGCCAGTAGTGATGATCTTCGAGATCGATAGTAACCAAATCGCTGCCGTCGTATTGCGAGATCCTTCAAAAGGCTTGAGTTTGATGATAATGACCAAAGCGACGATTTCAAAGACAAAGAGACCATAGACTTGTGCCAAGGGGCTTGCTCGACCTCCGCCGATGAAGCATGCTCGGACAAACTGATATGCCAAGTACACCGTAAAGAACCACCATCGAGAGAGTCGATATCGTGCCGAAAGCCACCCATAACGCTTGATATAGGGCTCGTCTTGGTGAACCTTTGGTCTTTCAGGGTCCTTATCGACAAACTTGATGCGGCGAATAGGCAGGCTGGCAAAGAGACGCGGTTTGTGGGCCTGTTCCTCCTCGCCGATGGAGCTTGCGAGTGTCGTTGCCACAAATGGAATTTTCTTGAGGACCAACCCTTGCTCAAAGCGAAGCGTATCAGATACGACTTCATACTTGCCTTCACGTAGCCTGGATGAGCAAGCATACGCTGTCAGGCCAGCAAAGCCCAAGAACATCACGAAAATGACTGCAGCAATAGCAGTCGGACCCGGCGGAGCGTTGATCGAGAACTGGAACATGGCCAGTGTCATCATGACGAAGAAAGCGATGAATAGCGTTCGAAGTAGGCCCGCGGCCATGTATCCGACCCAATGTGAACGAAAGAAGTCAAAGCCATCGGACTTTATAAGCTTGAATTTGTGACACAACTCAAGCACAAGCTTGGACGTTGCCACGAATAGGGCAACGGCTGCTAGAACAACAAGGAACCAGATGAGCCCGATGATGAACGCGTCATTTCGAGGGATGCCGACCACAGATAGTACACCAGGGAAGCCAGAGTAGTCACCTGGGAGTGGCATTCCAGGATTTCGAGGTTCACCAGCCCAGTCATAGTCGTATGGGTTGCTAGAGTTGAAGTCGTGGCGACGGGTTAACGAGTGGACAACACTCTCAAGTTGGGGAACAGATCGTCTTCCAAAGCTTCGGCCAAAGATCTGCTGCGCAAGACCACCGCCATTGTTGATGGGGACTGACCCTGCAGAGCCAACTTGACTGGCGTTCCCAGACACGCCAGCAAACGGGCTGATAGCATCAATCATGTCAAGGCTGGCAAACATGCCGGCAGTCCACGCAAAGTTGCTCCACCAGGCAGGAAGCAGGGCAGGCCAGTTGACGGATAGCGCCCCAGAAAAGAAGATTGATTGAAAGGTTTCGAAAATGATCAGAATTGAAAAAGAATGGGCGTAGTGCATTCTGATATGCGGGATCTGAACGCCATATATCGCCGTTGCGAATGAGGCCAACACCGCAAACACAGTGAAAGCTCCCAGTATTGATCCCACAATCTCAGGCTGTGAAAAGGTCCTTCCGTTACTCATAGTAGCCTGGAAGCACCCAATTTCTGTCTGTGTTGAGTTGGCAAAGATTCGGATGCGCGAGTATCCTTCCAAGTCGGGAATGTTGAGAGCAATTGACGGAATTCCTGCAATGTCATTGGCAGATATTGAAGTTGTGATGTATGCCTCGATGGGTTGACCGGCCTTCAACGGGCAAAGGCTTGTGACGTTTTCCGCGCAAGGGTCGTAGGTTTTGTTAAAACGCTCTTCTCCATATACCTCAATAGAAAGGTGCACTAGAATCTGGTTAGACTGATCAAGCAGGGCGTGATAAAGTTTCGCAACGTACGCATGACACTTTCCTGGCGAATATTGGTGCTTCCATAGACGTGAAAGGATACGGTGAGGTTATCAGAGTAATAAGCCGTGTCGAAACCCGTCACATTGAAAAGACTTCCATCATTCAGACAGTCGTCAAAGTCGCCCGTGTATAATGACGGTGTCCGACTAACATCGAGCCGTTCGTGGAAAACACCATTGTCGCCAGTTCCGTTGATGTAAACCTTGTCTTGAGCGCAGACATTTGGTATAACGCCTAGAACGGAGAGAAGGCATGACAATGCCGCCAGAGGTCGTTGTGTCGCGAACATCTTGACGATGAGATGTGGTCAGGGGGTCGGAAGAAGCGGAACGCGGGCAAGCCCGCCAGGGCGGTCTTTACGATATCGTCGTCAATTTCTTTGGTTCAAATATTATCTTGGTCCAGAGAAGGAAGTGTGTAACGTTATCGAGGAGTTTGGTGGTGGAAATTTGGTCGATTCGGGCATGTAGATCAGGAACTGCAGGTCTCAGATAGGAAGTTGACGTTCTCGAGCAATATTTCGATAATTTCGCATGCGGCTATAACGGCGTAAGGGGGGTTCGGCGCGAAAAGGTGAACGAAGCGTTATCGACGATCGAGCATACGGGAGTTGTCCTAGGCAGAGGAGGGAGAAGAAGTCCAGTTACGCGCGGGAGATTAAAGCTTGGTGTTCTTTGTGCCAATGCAAAATCTCGTGTTTGTTTGACGTAGGTGTAACCCCCCCCCAAGACTTTCGAGAGACACAACAGTGGCGCAGCGGCCGGGAGAAGCCACTAAAGATCGGCAACCTCGCGACGGACGGGAATTTAAGGTTGGCGGGATGGCAGCTGCAGGGGTTTTAATTAATGGGAAAAGAGTCGAAATTTAATTCGCAACGGGCGAAGAATGCAAAGTGTTGGATTTGAGAGACTGAACTTATTCTGCTTGAGTCAAAAAGAGAGATAACGATAAATCGAGACTAGAACAAGTATTGAATCTTGGTAATGTACGAAAACAGGGAAGGTTGGGATTAACTAGATCTTGGAGAAGCCTGATCCAACCACATTTTCTGGGCATGCACTAAATTTGGTGTGAGCAGTAGCGAGAATACTCTCAATTTGCCAGACCACGCTTATCGTTTTTCGGTATCTACTTCTATCACGACATGCTCGAGACCATGCAGCCCCAGACAAAAGTCCTTCTCTTGATAGATTATCAATTCTGTGCAAAGGGGAGATACTGCGTGCAAGGCAGTAAATTCGCTCAAGATGCTGCAATCTACGGATACCT